GATAAGCTAGTCATTGCTACGGTGAAGAAGGAGAACATTAGTCTACACAACACTTTGCTAAGAGGGATTATCAAGAATGTATGTCTCTCAAATACATCTCCGTTGAAGACGGAGAAGAAGCAATTGAATGGTGTCAAATCTTTATGCAACGACCTACCTAAATCGCCTCGTAAAGGAAGGACTCAGAGGAGGTGTAATGGAAGTAAAGGGAAGAGTCAAGTCACTGAGGTTGTTTCTTCTAGTTGCAAACAACAATGGTCAATGGAAGATGGTGAAGAAGTTGACCAACGTTGGAGAAGTCAACCCATTGAAGCTCCATTAGGTGTTAATGTTGGGGATGTGATCAAGAGAAGACCTCATGTTGGGACTTGTCACTCCTCTGGTGAGCTTCCTGACTTTAATTCCTTAAAGAAGAAACTTGAAGAAAACATGAAGGGAGAAGGACTAGAAGTTTCAGATGGTTTTGCTAACTCGTTGAACGCTGGACTCCATGTCTTCTTGAAAAGACTAATCAAACCGTGTCTAGAGTTAGCAGCTTCAAGGTCTAGTAGCCGAGGAGGAGTATGTTCTTCTTCTTCTTCAATATCTATGGTAGATTTTCAAGTAGCTATGGAGTTAAACCCGTCGATACTTGGGGAAGATTGGTCTACAAAGCTTGAAAAGATCCGGTTAGCTACACTGGACTTGCCTGCTGATTTTCAGACAAGCTAACTCTGTAACTAGATAGTTCTGATTCTTCCATTACAGAGTTTGTGTTGGACAACAATTTTTAGGTTTTTATTGTGTGTATATATATGTCTTGGTGTTTAATTATGCTTAGGGTTTGATTTGTTAAGCAACCTCAATAAAAGAAATAAGGTAATATTACAACCAAAAGTAATAAAAACAACAATTATTTAAATGTTTTTCAAGGACACAAGAAGCAGACAAACAAACAGAACAAATAAAAGAAATTTGTAAATGAAAAAAACAAGCTCAAAAAAAACGGAATTTATGAATTTTTGGTTTTTCCCTCTTAGTTAAAGGCTCCACAGTCACGACGGATGTTACCGTTGTTTCCAACCTTAACGCCAACGCGGCCAAGCTTGGTCATAGCCTTTATAAATGCAGCGTTGAAAGCAGGTGAGCTCTTGGCCCAAGCGTCAACGGTGGGTCTAGAGCGACGATCGGTGAAGAGAACTTGGTCGGAAGTGAAGAGTCCTTTGCCTTGTTGGAGATTCTTGAAGTAAACGTTGTCGAATGTTCTTGGAGTAACGGGGTCCATGTTGATAGCGATTCTTGGGTCAACTTTCTTGGGACAAGCGGCTTGAAGTTCTTTAACGTAGGCTTTGTTTATGGTTGGATCAACAGGGTGTGTGCGGTTGAAGTTGTAGATTCTGTTGGCTACTTTGCCGCAGTGAGCGAATCCGAGGGTGTGAGCAGCTGCATGGTTGGAGAAATTTTAACAGTTTAGAAAATTGCATTTTAGTGGTGTTGTTATTCTTTTCTTTTTAATTAGAAAACAAATGTGCTAGTTAATTTATTTCGAGTTTTATGTTCATAATCTCTTCCATACTCAGAATACACTTTTACATATTCCGATTTATATTACAGCCACAAAGCAATCACAAAACTTATATTCCATTCGTTTCTTAAAGATACCTATTCTAAAAAAAAATTGTTTCTAAAAGATCCATTTTTACATTTTCAATACATGTTTTATCAACTAAATGTAAACTTCAAAAAACTTAATTGCACTAATTTATTTTTTATTGGTTTAAAATTATAGAAAGAAAATAAATACAAAAAATTATGTAAATTTATTGTGTTTTATTAAAAATGTGGAAAAACTAAAATATGGAACTTTTAAAAACAGAGGGAGTATATTATTATTACCTGAAAGAGCGATCATATCCTCCTGAGTAAGTTTGTTTTTGGCAAAGAGCTTGTTGAGTTTGTCAACGTTGTCATTTGGTCCTGGCAAGTTTCCGTTGACGCTAGCAGCGGTCGATACCAAACCGTCACGCCTACCGAGTTCCACTTGGTACGACGGTCCCTTAGCCTAAACAGATCAAAAGCTACATTAAATATTTTTTTATAAAATGTAATATGGTAAACTTGTGTTTTATTTTGTAACCAAAATAAATACAACTTACGGCGACAATAACATCACGGGTGGCCAAGGCAAGGATATCAGCACAAGAAACTACGTTCTTACAACCTTTGAATTTGTCAAGAGCTTGCTTAGCTTTGATCACAACATCAAATCCATCTCCGGCCAAAGATATGTTGTCTGGATGATCCTTCTCGGCCTTGTTGTTAGGCGTTGACTGAATCATGACCGACGCATCACATCCCTATATTAAAAAAAAAGCATCATTCAAGTAATCAGATTATAGGTTTCAAATATAGAGAAAGCAATCAAAAGTTTTGAGCATTACGTTGACGAAGCAATCGTGGAAGAAGAGACGGAGAGTAGCTGGGATGGTGACGAATGTCTGTTTGACTTTTTCTTGGACAACTTTCCTCACGATAGCTTCAACATTTGGACATGACTTCGCGTAGAAGTTTTGTTTGAGCTGAGCAGTGGTCGTGTCAGGAAACACGGAGATGGTAAGGCAAAGAGCCAGGGCAAGAACCAGACCAAACCGAGCCATTTCGTCTGGGGATTAGAAGTGTGTTATGCTGAGAAATGGTCTGAGTTGATGAGAAATGAGGAAACTATGGAATTGTATTTATAGTAATCGTGTGTTGGACTTGATCATATTTCTATTTTTATATTATATGTACATGTTTTGAAGAATATATCAAATTGGAGAATATATATTATTTATAAGTTGGAGCCACGATCTTGGTAATGGTCGACAAGTTTCTTAGCAGTAGTTTGGGGTTTTGAATTAGTATAACAAATGACATTTTAACCGTTGACTTTGTAGAATGACAAGGAAGCATCTGCGACGTGGCGGGAGAAATTTGATTATTATGTTTGTTTTTTTTTTTTCTGGCTCTGCAGTGCTTGCCGCCGTTCAGATGCTCTACTCTACTCCACTTTCCTTTTAATCTCTTAATTTCTCTCGATTATTCTTTGCTCACAAGGAGTTTAAAACCTTCAAAAACACAGATAGCTCAATGCTCAGATTAAACGCTAATAACCCTTTCTGACCGAAGAAACCCCACAGAGTTTGTAACAGTAAGCCCTGGGACTTACTATCTAAGAGTTTCTGTGAAAGCAATGAAGGAAGAAGGTAACGGAAGTGGAAGCATGAGTTTCTCTGGACAAAGCTGGGATCCAAGTTCAGAGATACAAGTTCCTTCAGACCAAAGACCGGTAAGTAAATTTACTTTCGTCTTTTTTTTTATAATTCTATAAACAGAGAAACTATTTTAAGTGTTATAATATTTTTTGTTGGGGGTTGTTAGGTGAATGAATATTCGTCTTTGAAGGAAGGGATGTTGTATTCATGGGGAGACTTGGGTCCAACTCAGTTCTTTCACTGTTCTTGGTGTTCCCATCGCAGCTGCTAGCTTTAATCCCTCCAGGGTGATTAGATAAGCACTGTGACTTTGCATTTGTGTTTCTCAGGTATAGGCTCGGGACAGGTTGTTAGGTTCTGACAAGGTAAACAATGTTCTATGGCAATTAATGTTTCTTATTCAATCAAATGCTGAAAAGAAACTCACGAACATTTGTGAGTTTCAGGTGAAGTCAGTAATCAAGATGCTGAAACAAACATTAGTTGGAATAAGAGCTTTACTTGTTTCCGCATTCTGACTATTCGTCTTTGCAATACCAGTCGAGGATTTTTTGAAAACCATTCTAAGATCCAACGATGAGGTTTCTATTTCAAGAACCAACAATAATACGAGGTAATAACACATATATTCAAACAAACTATCCTGGCTTTTGTTGAAAGCAAACTCACACCTCTTTTGTTTATACAAAGTTGGCAGAAAAGAACAGTTACTTCAGTTGCCCAAAGATGTACGATGACTAGGCAGCCGCAGCGGCCGCTGATGGAAGACTGGTCTACTGCAGAGACCGTTACTACCGTGCGTTAGCCGGTGGACAGTACTGCAAATGGGAAGATCCATGTTAAATAGTTGTCAAAATATAGAATAATAACACTATCCTTTTCTCAGTTTTTATTAAAATGGTTTAGTAAAGCCTAAATCACCACTAAATACCGAGATATACACTGATTATTTAACTGATGAGCAAAAACCTATTTGTGGCATTATCACTCAGAGTCTAAGAGCATCTGCATTAAAGGTTCATAAAAAGTTTATACAGAATATCACACACTTTCCAAAACAAAATGTGGTGAACCTGTATTGTGGGGATTGTTAGGAAGAGCCGAATTCATCACTATTTCACGGACTCCACGATATGTGGCGGCTCGCGATTGATTCGTTTATTATTATTATTTTTCTTTTTTAAAAAACAAACGCAAAAAAATAATAATTCAAAAGTTATGTTGGAGATCGAGTCCCTCTTCGATCTCCTAATGGGCATGCCCTAATAAAATGAACTAAACTGCCAGTTTCTACTGTTGCTATTAACTTTATTTTTCTCTGGCTTTTGTTAAAAGCAAACTCACCTCTTTCCAATACACAAATTTGCGGATAAAAATCTATCCAAAAGAAAAGAAAACGATTAAAATTCATGAATGCACTCGTTTCAATTTTAAACCTTGATATAAGATTTTATTTCCACAATTTTACTATAAAAACAAGGACGTGAACAAGAGTCAAAAAAAAACCAGCGTGGCATTATCAGTCAGAGACCAACCTGCCAGCTACAGATGCTGCTATGATTTTTTTTCTAAAAAGACTTTCTGGTTTATAAAAATATAAACTAATGCAAAAAGAAAATCTGAGAATGTATCACTGTAATGTTAACTATTTTGATTTAGTTAGTGTGATCTGATGCGATTTAGTTGTACCATACAAACCAAAGTCTTTAATTACCAGTTACCACCCACATTATTTGGATCCCAACCGTCAAAAGCATTGTTTAGGTGATGTCTTCGACGAAACCATTGCGATCTTTGAGAAGTAGTAGTTCGTTACATAGCGTCCGTCTGGTGATGAGCCTTAAAGATACTAATAGACTCACAATTTACATGTCGAACATAGGTAAACAACTTCTCTGGAAAGGTCTTTATTTTTTGTTTATGAACAGAAGTCTACAAACATTAAAATTTACGAAAAAGACAAATAAATTTAGAGACAGATCAAACGAAAAACAAAAGTGATCACTTTCAAAGCAGGATAGTGGACAGAAGAATCTAAGAACACTACCAGTGCATTACATAATTAAGTACACCACCAAAAAATAGTACACCACCAAATAATCTTCGAGCTAGATTATTTATGAATAAAAAGGTTATGTTCATTTACTCTTATCGGTTTTTATCAAACCTAAACCATGTTTATAGTCTCAAACAAGTTACAGTCAGTATCATAGTTAAAAGACGTAAATACTAAATAGAAACAGCAAATCTCACAATAATAAATCTCGAGCTAATACATGAAATAATTGTAATCAGTGCAATTGGTTATTATTTCATGTTGAACATAGGTAAACTTATGTGAACTAAAGTCTTTAAGTTTTGTCTTCTTTGAAGAGAAGTCTTGAAAAACTTCAATCTAAGATACAAACAAAGTATACTTAAAAGAAAATTGGATTTTACACAAGTAAACGACCAAATAATCTTCTAGAGTTATATATCAAAAGGCTATATTTACTTTGTATTACTAATTTTTGAACGTCATAATGTACTGTTTCTTTCTTTATCGTTCTTCTTTGCCTGGGTTCCTGCCATGATGAATTTAAAAATATAAATCTGATAAACATAAAGAAAAGGTAGAAACGACTCTAAAAACTATATTACTAATGAACTATTTATTAAAAACGAAAGAAAATATTAAATAGGAGAGAGACAAAGATACAAAAATTCTTAATTAAAAGGTTGGGAGAATCCTATAGTTATGTCACTGTCCGAATGTCAGTTTTATAGTGGTTAAGTTTTTAAAACAAACTTTCATTTAATTAAGTAAGTAAATTTTATTAAAAAATAATATTTTTTTCTTTTAAGAAACCTTAGGTTTACACAGAGGATGTTTCTCTAAGATCTCTAATGATAACCAACCAAGGTGTCATTTCAAGAACCAATAATAACAAGTTCATCAATATATAAGGAGATCAATCGAAATGCCTATCTTCAAACAAACTATCAAAATGTATGGCTTTTGTTTTGAGCGAACTCACCTCTTTTTTACTCACCTCTTTCTTTTTTTTTTTTTTTAATCAAAACTCACCTCTTTCTTTCTTTCTCTTTTTTTCTAAAGAAAAAAATATTCATTCATATTTCTTCGTCCCAAAAGTACCTTTACAACAAGGCTGAAAATGTGAGAAGATGATACAAGTTTTAGTGAAAGAAAAAGATCATGTGAAGTCAAGAATTGAAGCTTGTCAAACTGGCCACTGCTACTGTAAATTTTTGAACCATAAAGAGAGGTAGGTACGTGGTTGCTGTCTTGTTGTTGGTGTTGATAAATAGTATCCCTCAACTCAATTTTAATTAGGGTTCAAGAGTAGTTGATATTATGATAAACAAGGACGTGAACAAGAGTGGACCAACCTGCCAGCTTCTGATGATGCTGCTATAATTTTTGTTTTTCTGGTTTATAAAAATACAAACTAAAATTGTGATGAATTGTGATTGGTCCAAAACCTAATGTAAAAAGAGAATCTAAGAATGTTTCACTGTATTGTTAACTATTTTGATGTGATTTAGTAGTCTGATCTGATGTGAAGACATGCTAATTCATGTTGTACCATACAAGCCAAAGTCCCTAATTATCAATTTATCACCCACATTATTTGGATCCAACCGTCAAAAGGATTGGTCAATTGATGTCTTCCATGAAATCAGTAAAATCTATTATGAACAAACACGAATCAAATTTTGAAGAAAATAAAAAGAATTGAGATAGATATTTGTTTATGCTTATATAATAATAAGTGAATGGATAATTGTAAAAAAAATCTCTTACATTCATATTTAAAGCAATCTTAAAATACAATTTGTTTTCTTTAAATACATATCTATCATAAAAAGTATATCTTATACCACACTTTTTCAGATGTCAATTTTGATAATAAATTCTCTTTTATGTATATAATGAATTCTCTTTTATATATATTTATGACGCTTGCATTCGGCCACACTATGTCCCGTCGAATGAACAATAGATTTTTGATGATGTACAAAAAGTTAAGATATTTTCAAATGTAATACTCCCTCTATTTTATTATAAGTGTCATTCTACAGTTGTGTATACAGATTAAGAAAACAATTAATTTTATATATTTCCTATATAAAAATACAGTTACTCATACAGCTAACTATATTTTAACCAATAGAAAAATAAATTACATAATAAAATTAATAAATTTTGCATTGAAATATTTTGTAACGCAAAAATTATGAAATTCTCTGAAAAATCTTTGAACGGAAGTCTAGAAACATTAAATACGAAAAAGACAAAAATAAATTTCAGAGACAAATCAAACGAGAAACAAAAGTGATCACTTTCAAAGCTGAAAAGTCTAAGAACACTGCCAGTGCATTACATAAGTACACCACCGAATAATCTTCTAGCTAGAGTTATGAATTAAAAGCTTCACTTCACTTAGTCTTAGTGGTTTTTATCATACCTATAAACCATATTTATAGTCTCAAATAAGTTAGTCAGTATTATAGTTAATAGATGTTGATGCTAAATAGAAACAGAGAATGTCAAGATAATAATTAAAAAAGTTCTCCCGATAATACTGAATATAGTAATCAGTGTAATTGATAATCTCAAGTTTATTTCACGTTGAACATAGGTAAACTTTATGTGAACAAAAGTCTTTTAAGTCTTGTCTTCGGTGAAGTCTTGAAAACCTTACGATTCACGGAAAAAAATCTTTGGAGAGAAATCAAAACGTGTGTGTGGAAACCAATCTAACATACAACAAATACACTTAAAAAGAAAGTAGGATTTTACATAAGTACAAATCATCTTCTAGAGTTATGAATTAAAAGGCCATATTCACTTAGCGTTAATGTTTTTGAGCATCATAATGGTTTTCTGAATCCCCCCATGGTATATGATGATTCTATCAAACCTATAAGCCGTCTTTATAAATTAAACAAGTCACGGTAAATCTCATAGTTCTTTTTAATCTATTTATATATACTATTATTTTATACTATTATTTTAAAAAGAAATTCAATATATTTTTCATAATTTTAGATAATTTTATTTATTTGTCATATTCTCATTAATTTTATTATTTTTAGCTAAATCATTAGTTTGAATAATCTATGTATATATATATTTTATAGTTAATTATAAATATTTATAATAACAAATTAATCAAAATAAACAAATATCATTATATCCTATAAGTCATACGCCAGTAAATTTATTCAAGAATCAAAATATCAACTACTCTTAGTTCTAACGATAATGCCAAACTTTCTTCCATCATTCTATCATGTAGTCAATAAGAGATTTTCACAAGCAATATATGATTGGTTACCATTTATAAATAACAAAATTTACTTATTAGATTATATAACTACTTAAAATTAATATAATGAAAATTACAAAAAAACTTATTTGATACATAAAAAGGATAAATATATATATATATATATATATATAGTCGCTATCTGAAAACTGGTTATATATTATAAGTTATAATAAAATTAAAATTAAAAAGAAAACAGAAAGATTAATAATCATATATCAATCATGTAAAAAATTGAATTTCTATAATCAAAAAGAGAATATTTAGTGATCTCAAATTTTTTATTATATTTATTAATTATTAATGAATATAGTGTATAAATATATTTTTCAAAATATTTATAATACATGAATATTTTTTTTTAAAAAATAATAATTTAACAATAAGCATATATATTTTAATGAAAAACTTTATCGTATTGAAGTAATTTAATATTCAGTTTAAACTTATAATAGTCTTTAAATTATAATGCATGTATTAATAAGTAATAAGGCAAAACACCTAGTAACAGATTAGTGTAATTTTGGATAATATTATTTCATGTTGAACATAGGTCTTTAGTTATGTGAACAAAAGTCTTTATTTTTTTTTGTCTCGGTGAACAGAATAAAGTCTATGAAGACTAAAATTTACGTAAAAAACAATAATTTAGAGACAAATCAAAAAGAAAACACATGTGACCACTTTCAAAGCAGAACAGTGGACACAAGAGTAATAATATTATTTCATCACTCACTTTCTCGACTCTATATAAAGACACTCGCATTTTCATATTTTCCACACTAACTTACAAAACATGTCTTCTTCGTTTCTCTCTTCCACTGCTTCTTTCTTTATCGTTCTTCTCTATCTGGCTTCCTGCCATGTCTCTGATGGAGCTCAACAAGCTACTTACATCGTTCACATGGCAAAAGCTCAGATGCCCTCGACCTTCGACCACCATTCTCTCTGGTACGATTCCTCACTCCGGTCCGTATCAGACTCTGCTGAAATGCTCTACACTTACAACAATGCGATTCATGGATTCTCCACTCGTCTTACTCCCGAAGAAGCCGACTCCCTCATGACCCAACCTGGTGTCATCTCGGTTCAACCTGAGCAGCAGTACGAGTTACACACCACCCGAACTCCACAATTCCTCGGTCTCGACTTACACAGTGCAGCCCTATTCCCTGAAACCAGCGCAGCCAGCGACATCGTCATCGGAGTTCTCGACACTGGTGTTTGGCCAGAGAGCAAAAGTTTTTCAGACGAAGGATATGGTCCTATTCCGTCTACCTGGAAAGGCGAATGCGAGGCTGGGACTAACTTCACGGCTTCGCTCTGTAACCGCAAACTAGTCGGAGCTAGGTTCTTCGTTCAGGGTTACGAAGCAGATAATGGAAAAATCAACGAAACCGTAACGTTGAGATCGCCTAGAGACGAGGATGGTCACGGAACACACACGGCGTCAACTGCGGCTGGATCCGTCGTGGAAGGAGCTAATTTTTTAGGCTTCGCTAATGGAACGGCACGTGGGATTGCTCATCGCGCTCGAGTGGCTGTTTACAAAGTTTGTTGGGAAAATGGTTGCGTGAGCTCAGATATTTTAGCTGGAATCGATAAAGCCATCGACGATAATGTAAACGTTCTCTCCATCTCTCTCGGCAGTAAAAATAAAGTAACGGATTATTATAAACACCATACTACCATTGGAGCATTCTCGGCCATGGAAAAAGGGATCTTCGTTTCCTGCGCTGCTGGTAATTCTGGTCCCAGCCCATCCAGTTTATCGAACGAAGCTCCGTGGTTGACTACTGTTGGTGCTGGTACATTAGACCGTGATTTTCCCGCGCTCGCAATTCTCGGCAACGGGAATAACTATACTGGAGTTTCTTTGTTTAAAGGAGTTGCACTTCCCGCTAAATTGTTGCCATTTGTTTACGCCGGGAGTGCTAGTAATGCTGCTGATGGAAAGTTTTGTTTCTTAGGAACACTTATTCCGGAGAAGGTAAAGGGGAAGATCGTGTTGTGCGATAGAGGATCAGGGAGTAATACAATTCTTAAAGGGCTGGTGGTGAGAGCTGCTGGTGGACTCGGTATGATTCTTGCGAATACAGCAGAGGAAGACGGAGAAGAGGCTACCGCGGAGCCTCACTTCTTACCGACGACCTCTGTGGGACAGAAAGCCGGCGACATTATCCGACACTACGTCTTGACCGATCCGAATCCCACCGCTTCAATCTTGATTCAAGGAACTCTCCTCAACATCCAGCCGTCCCCGGTGGTGGCGGCGTTTAGCTCGCGAGGACCTAACTCGATAACGCCCAACATTCTCAAGCCGGATTTCATCGCTCCGGGAGTCAATATCTTGGCCGCGTGGACCGGAGCTATTAGTCCTACCGGCTTCTTTTTCGATCCTCTCCGTGTGGAATTCAACATCATCTCAGGAACGTCCATGTCTTGCCCTCACGTGAGCGGGTTAGCCGCTCTTCTCAAGTCTGTGCATCCTGAATGGAGCCCCGCGGCGATTCGATCGGCTCTCATGACCACCGCTTACAATACCTACAAAGACGGAAAACCGATCCTCGACATCGCGACGGGTAAACCTTCAACGCCGTTCGAGCACGGTGCAGGACACGTGTCACCTACGAGGGCCATCAATCCAGGACTCATCTACGATCTAACAACTGAAGATTATATAGATTTCCTCTGCGCATTGAACTACAATTCGTCGCAGCTCATAATCCTGTCGAGAGGCAATCACACTTGCGACTCAAGCAAAACGTACTCCGTCGCTGATCTAAACTATCCCTCGTTCGCCGTTAACGTCCATGGGTCCAACACTTATAAGTACACACGCACTGTTACAAACGTGGGAGGAGCTGGCTCATACTCGGTTAAAGTAACGTCGGAGACAACAGCAGTTAATATATTGGTTGAACCGACAGTTTTGAATTTCAAAGAAGTCAACGAGAAGAAATCGTATGCGGTAACGTTTACCGTAGATTTGTCTAAGCCTTCAGGGTCTAACAGCTTTGGGAGCATCGACTGGTCAGATGGGAAACATGTGGTGGCCAGTCCCGTGGCGATTAGCTGGACTTAGTGGTCAATTATGACCAACTTGTTTAGCAGAAGAAAAAAAAATTACGACTTACTTGAGAAAGAAGAAAGTCATACATATTGTAATGTCGTTTTCCATATGGGTTCTGTTTAGCAAAAACAGCACACAGTCTGTTTTTGTATATGGACTTGAATATTCAACAAAAATAATTAAGCTAAGACTATTTTAGTTGCATTAATGGTTTCGGGCTTCTAAATCTTCAAGTCCAGGCCCATTAATACATTACTCTCCTTTGCGTTTTTTTTTTGCTTAATACTACTATCAAATAGCCCTGCGACTTCGGTTTTCCGAAACCGAACCGAACCAGCGGTTTTCGGTTAACCGGAAATTTTGAAACCTATTTCCAAATTAGCCGAATTAAATTTTGGTTCGGCTCGGTTATCGGTTAATTTCGGTTTTCAAAATTATTTCTGAAAATAACCGATTTTATTGGTTTTCAGTTAACTCCGGTATAATTTTTCAAAAAAATCGGATATTTTCGGATATTTTTGGTTATTTCGGTTAACTTCGGATATTTTTGTTTTTTCGGTTTAATTTGGTTCGGTTTTTTGGTTATTTTTGGTTTTTTAATATTTTTTTTTTGAAAATCAAAATCCAAACCGAAAACCGAATTACTTTTCATAATCATACCGAACTAAACCGAATTGAAAACCGAAACGAAAACCGAAAATTTCGGTTCGGCTCGGTTCGGACCGTTCGGTTCGGTTTAAAGTCGCATGCCTACTATCAAACCTCTCTCTGTATTTGTTTCTATTGGTTCCAATTGGTGACACCAATCAAAGTCATTAGCATGTTTAATTAAGGATTTCTAGGGTGAAGTTCATAGCGGAATATATGAATCTGTCTCTTAACTTTTAACTAAAAAAACTAAAACTGACACTTACATAAGAGTTTTAAGAACCGGTTCCTAGTGTTTTTAGTTAAAAATTAAAAGACGGGTTCTTATATTCCACTAAGAACCCACCTTAAAAAATTTCCATTAAAAAGTAGCTGCAGTAGCATAAACATACTAATGAGATCCAATTAGAATCCTCTTATTCACTTAGTCTTAATGGTTTTGATTAACCTATAAACATATTTATAGTCTCAAACAAGTCACAGCAATATATCCAGTATATTAATGGGTGTAATTAGATATATTATTTATGTCGAACATAGGCAAAATTATGTTAGCAAAAGTCTTCATTTTTTGTCTTTGAACAGAAGTCTGCAAACACTAAATTTTACGAAAAAAACAAAAAAATAATTTAGAGAAAAATCAAAACGAAAAACAAAAGTAATAATTTTCAAAGAAGAATAATGGACAGAAGAGTCTAAGAAAGTACACCACCGAATAATCTTCTAGCTATAGTTATGAATTAGATGGCTATATTCACTTAGTGTTGGTGGTTTTTATCAAACCTATAAACCATGTTTATAGTCTCAAACAAGTTACAGTAAGTATCATAGTTAAAAGATATATGTTAATAGCAAATAGAGTAAGCAAATCTCAAAATGATAAAACAATAATAATCTCCAGTTAATACTGAAATATAGTAATCAGTGTAATTGGTTATTTTTTAATGTTGAACATACGTAAACTTATGTGAACAAAAGTCTTTTAAGTTTGTCTATTTTGTAGAGAAGTCTTGAAACCCCTAAAATTTATGTAAAGAAAAACATTTTTGAGAGAAATAAAAAAGTGTGTGTGGAATTTAGTCTAACAGACAAACAACGTACACTTAAAATAAAATTGGATTTTACACAAGTACACCACCCAATAATCTTCTAGAGTTATGTATCAAAAGGCTTACTTAGTGTTAATGAATTTGATGATTTTATCAAACCTATAACCGATCTTTATAATCTCAAACGAGTCACAGTAAACAAATTCATTAAAGAGGCAGTGGATTAAAGAGGTTAATACTAAAAAAACATAGAATCTCAAGATAATAAACCAATAATAGTCTCGAGATAATAATACCAAAGTATAGTAATTACAGTGTAACTGGATATATTAGTTCATGTTGAACATAAATTAGTTAAAATTATGTGAACAAAAGTCTTTATTTTTTGTCTTGATGAACATAAGTCTTCGACGATTAAAATTTAAATAAAAACCAAAAATAAAATTTAAAGACTAATCAAAAAGAAAGACAAATGTAGCCACTTTCAAAGCAGAACAGTGGACACACGAGTGTAATAATAATATCTCCTCACTCTCTATCTCGACTCTATATAAACTCTCGCATCTTCACATTTACCACACAACTCAAAAAACATGTCTTCTTCATTTCTTTCATCCACAACCTCTTTTTTCTTTATCGTTCTTCTCTATCTGGGTTCCTTCCACGTCTCGGATGGATCTCAAAAAGCTACTTACATTGTTCACATGGCAAAAGCTCAGATGCCCTCGAGCTTCGACCACCACTCTCTCTGGTACGATTCCTCACTCCGGTCCGTATCAGAATCTGCTGAAATGCTCTACACTTACAACAATGCGATTCATGGATTTGCCACTCGGCTTACTCCCGAGGAAGCCGACACGCTCATGTCCCAACCTGGTGTCATCTCGGTTCAACCTGAGCAGCGGTATGAGTTACACACCACTCGGACTCCACAATTCCTGGGTCTCGACATACACAACTCCGGCCTGTTCCCCGAAACCGGCCCATCTAGTGACGTCGTAGTTGGAGTTATTGACACCGGCGTTTGGCCAGAGAGCAAAAGCTTCTCCGACGAAGGATATGGCCCCATTCCATCTACATGGAAAGGCGGATGTGACGCTGGAACTAGATTCACAGCTTCGCTCTGTAACCGCAAACTAATCGGAGCTAGATTCTTCGCTCGGGGTTACGAATCATCATTGACGGGACAAGTCAACGAATCCAAGGAATCAAGATCACCTAGAGACGACGAAGGTCACGGAACTCACACTGCGTCAACTGCAGCGGGATCAGTTGTGGAAGGAGCTAATCTTTTAGGCTTCGCTAATGGAACAGCTCGTGGAATCGCTTATCGCGCTCGAGTGGCAGTTTACAAAGTTTGTTGGAGAACTGGTTGCCACGACACAGACATTTTAGCTGGAATCGATAAAGCCATCGAAGATAATGTCAACATTCTGTCAATATCTATAAGCGGAAGTAGGACCGTTTATACAGACTCTACAGCCATTGGAGCATTCGCGGCCATGGAAAGAGGAATCTTTGTTTCCTGCTCTGCTGGTAATGATGGTCCCTTCCCTACTAGTGTAGCGAACGTAGCTCCGTGGGTTACTACGGTTGGTGCTGGTACTCTTGATCGTGATTTTCCCGCGCTCATGATTCTCGGCAACGGAAAGAATTATACTGGAGCTTCTTTGTTTAGAGGAAATGCACTTCCGGCTAAATTGTTGCCGTTGGTTTACGCCGGGAATGTTAGTAACAATGCTACTTATGGAAATTTGTGTTTCCCTGGAACACTAATTTCGGAGAAGGTAAAGGGGAAAATCGTGATGTGCGAAAAAGGAGGTATCAATCCAGCTAACAAAGGGGAGGTGGTGAAAGCTGCTGGTGGACTCGGAATGATAGTGGCGAATACACGGAGTAGAGGAGAAGAGCTTCAGGCGTATGCTTTTTTGTTACCGGCAGCCGCTGTGGGACGGAAAGCTGCTGACATTATCCGGAACTACGCTTTGACTGATCCGAATCCCACCGCTTCCATTTTGTTCCAACCAACTGTACTCAACGTCCAGCCGTCTCCCGTGCTTGCAGCTTTTAGCTCGCGAGGACCTAATCCCATAACACCAAACATTCTCAAGCCGGATTTGATTGCTCCGGGAGTCAATATCTTGGCTGCATGGACCGGAGCTGTAAGTCCCATCGGCATCCCTTTCGATCCTCTCCGTGTGGAATTCAACATCATCTCAGGAACGTCCATGGCTTGCCCTCACGTTAGCGGTTTAGCCGCTCTCCTCAAGTCGGTGCATCCTGAATGGAGCCCGGCAGCGATTCGATCAGCTCTCATGACCACTGCTTACAATACCTACAAAGACGGAAAACCGTTGCTCGACATCGCCACGGTACAACCTTCAACACCATTCGGACATGGTGCAGGACATGTATCACCGACCACAGCCGTCAATCCGGGACTAATCTATGATCTAACGACGGTGGATTATTTAGGTTTCCTATGCGCATTGAATTACAATTCCTCGCAGATCAAAATGGTGTCAAGGGGCAATTACACTTGCGACCATAGGAAAACTTACTCCGTTGCTGATTTAAACTATCCTTCCTTCGCCGTTACGGTTGACGGATACGGCACGTACAAGTACACACGCACTGTCACAAACGTGGGAGGAGCTGGGACATACTCGGTTAGAGTTACCTCGGAGACAATGGCAGTCAAGATTTCAGTTGTACCAGAGGTTTTGAATTTCAAAGAAGTAAACGAGAAAAAATCGTATTCTGTTACGTTTACCGTAGACTCGTCTAAGCCGTCAGGGTCTAACAGCTTTGGGAGCATCGAGTGGTCAGATGGGAAACATGTGGTGGCCAGTCCCGTGGCGGTTAGCTGGACATAGTGGTAAATTATGACCAACTTGTTTAGCAGAAAAATAATTATGACTTACTTGAGAAAGAAGAAAATCATAGATATCGTAATGTCGTTTTCCATATGGGTTCTGTTTTAGCAAAAACAGCACACAGTCTGTTTTTGTATATGGACTTGAATATTCAGCCAAAATAATTAAGTTAAGAATATTTTATTTGCATTAATGGTTTCAGACTTCTAAATCTTCAAGTCCAGGCCCATTAATACATAACTCTCCTTCCCGAGTTTTTTTTGCTTAAGACTATATCAAATCTCTCTCTGTATTTGTTTCTATTGGTTCCAATTGGTGACAGTGACACCAATCAAAGCCATTATAGTATTTAAAGGTAAAATTACTTCATCTGATTTCTATTTCTTATTTTAAAATAAAAATTGTAATTTTTTTCTATTTATATAGAAACAAATATTTATCATCTCGAGGAACCGTATTGAAAGATATTTTATCTAGTATATAAGATAGATGGACAATTCCACTTATCACAAATTGATTTTAGGTTTGAAGTCTATCTACAAGAACAACTATTATAGTTATACAGTAGTTTCAACTCTTTGTGGTAACATCCTCTGTTTTTTTTTTCATATGATGTTATTAGCCTATATCCTGCTAGAGTTCGAAATATATAAAAATCAATCTTATTAAGCAAAGAGTGATTTTCATATTGTATTTATGATTTGTAATCATAAATGTTGTCAAAGTATAATATTATTCCATATATGATTAAGGAAACAATTGTCGACCATTATTACGCGTTTGAAAAGGAGAAAGGACAACAATAGTTTTATGCAGAAATTTAGACGTTAGATCATATTATAATTGAGCTGTAGCTAGAAGTTAGGAGTTTATACGATTAAAATAGGGAGGAGAAGGATATGCATAGTTTATTCTCTACACATATAGAAAGAAATATAAAACTCATAGTTAACAACTTAACATTATTACGCGTTTGAAAAGGACAAAAGGCAACAAAAATTTTATGCAGAATTTAGACGTTAGTTATGTTAAAAAAAAAGAATTTAGACGTTAGATCATTCTAATTGAGCTGTAGCTAGAAATTAGGAGTTTATATGATTAAAATAGGGAGGAAAAGGATATGCATAGTTTATTCTCTACACATATAGAAACTAGAAAGAAATATAAAACTCATAGTTAACAATAAAACAGCAAAAGAAATGATAAAAATCACCATGATAACGGTATATTCATGTAGAAGATGGATAGTGATGGTGCTGGGTAAAGCGTACTATCGCGTGCCAAGAATAGTGGCCTAGGTCCACTTCCACACAGATCCAACCTTCTAAAGCTATTCTTTATGGTTTATTTTCATGGTTCTTGTTTTTCTTTTACATGTCTACGCTTTCAATCTACCGGAAAAGAGTAGGTAAAAAATAAAATAAAATAAAAGCCTACCATATCTTACAACCTCTCTTCTATCATGTGTGTTCTTACTAAAAAAGGAAGTTCACGAAAACAATTCCTTTTTTACCCGCCAAAGAAATAACAATTATTAAACAGGCTTTAATTCATTCATTTTGTTAAACCTAAAACTTAATTAAGAAAACGGACGGGTTTGAAAAGTAACCTTGGTTGACCATTAAAAGTAGACACATTAACGCATTTTTTGACGAAATTTAAAATCAGGCAAAAAAGAAAGAAAACTCAAAAAGAAACCTCAAACATTATAAAATATTATCTGAAATAGTAATTATAGTGGCCAAGCTCACCTAATGCAGTCTGTAGATAATTGTCACGGTACTGAATGAAAAAAGAAAAGGAAACACCATGTCTATTGCACTAGAACTCATACTTCCCAAGTTTCCATGATCAAAAAACTTTCGGTGTATATTTTACCTTCTTTATAGCTTATGTCTGGTTCCAAATGTTAATGTGTATAATATGTTAGATGTAATTATGTGCCAGTGACTATAGGTTAAGTTAAAAAAATAAAGGTCCAAATCATTTTTGACTTTTTCGACAGAAACTTCTCTTTTGTCTTTTTAAAATATTCAAAATTTTCGCCCCTCTTTAGTTAAATATAAACTTCACCTCTCTTTTTGTCTCTTGTCTGAAAGCTCCGAAAATGGGGAGGCCATGTACGAAAGAAGAGACAGTCCTTTTGATCTCTAAGCACAACAAAGGTCAAGAGGAGGAGGAAGAAGATGAAGTGTATGATTTACCGGTGAATTCATCTAATGAAAAAGTTCAGTTTCGGAAACAATCAAAGGCAGAGGAGGAGGAGGAGGAGTTCGAATTCGAAACCGGGTCATCGTTTCGTCTCGGGTCGGATTCTTGTGAACCGGCTCCGGAGATGAGTACGGCGGAGGACTTATTCTTCCAAGGTAAAATTCTGCCGTTTCGTCCCGGTTCGAACCGGTTAATCTACAGATCCGAATCTGTCGATTTCTACAGAACCGGAATCAATTCTAGCGGGAAATTCAAAAATAATTACATCGATTACACTCAACCGAGTCCACAGACACATATCATCAGACGATCATCAAGCATGACGGCGAGAGTGAATCATCCAATCAGGAACTCAAAATCATCTTCGATTTGGGATTTTCTCCGGTTAGGACTCGTCCGTACGCCGGAGATCGAACTTCGAACGGCGAAATCATCAGTGAGTCGAAACAGTAGCTGCAGTAGCACAAGCACGAGCCCGAATTCGAATTCGAAGAGAACAGAATCGAAATCGAGGAATCGGAGAAGGAGTTGTAAGTCCTCGATGGGGACGGAGACGATCGTACCTGTCTGCCGTGAGAAGGAGAAGAAGAAGAAGAAGACGGCGGTTGCGAGGAAGAGAACGTTTGAGTGGTTAAAGGAGTTATCACAGAGTCACAGGTTTAGGGTTTTTCGTTGATCATTGAAGCTTGATGATCAATCAAATTCATTTCCTTTTGTTTTTTTTTTCTCTTAAATATTTTTTTTTTTATGTTTAATTCAATTTGTATGTGATGATTATCTTTGTGTATGCTAGTGTTAATTTCCAATCATACTTTAGTTTTCCCCAAGTGATTTATGTTTTTTGTTTCATTTTTTTATTTAAATTTTTGTGAATTCATTCAATATAACTAACAGTTTGAGCAATGTCATACATTTAATGTAAACACGTCCCATACAGTTAATGAATAACTTTTTTTTTTTAAAGTTTAATTTTACATGAGTAGGACAAGATAGAGGCATACACGTATATGATGGCATGAAAATGAGACATCATAAAGAAACGAGAATGGAGTGAAAGTGAAATATCATATATCATTGTAGATTCTTACAAGGAGGGTGCTTAGCATGATTAAAACAGTGATGGTTATATTTAAGAAGTTAAACTTTCCCACTCAAAAATCGTATAATATAATGTTTTCTCACTATATAATACTATCAATACTCACTTGTGAGTTGTGCATAGGAAGGCTTAAAATTTTGCCAAAAAAACTCGCTGGAATGTGGAAACTATCAAATCGGCCGCCCCCATAAGTTTCAATGTCCACTCACATATGTTAAATTAAATAAAAAAATATTTTGCTTCAATGAAATAATAATACTAAGAAACAATAGTATACAATTCTCTAAACTTAAGACATTCACTTATACACATAGGTTTTCCATAAGAATCACTATAATAATACAACATCATATATATACGTATATGTATCATACATGTATAGGTTAGTAACACAACCAAGATCAGCCTCCTCTCCTCTGACCTTGTTTTTGGGATCTGAAGTACTTCAGAAGATTATGTGCCTGAAACCAAAACATATAAACAGTTAATTACTTGAATCATTGATGCATGAGACATACCAAACAAGAAGAGCAAAAAGTAAAATGAGACCTTCTCTTTGGCTCTAGCAGTTCCTGATTTAGTAAGAGCCACAAGAGGAGGAATAGCTCCTTCTCTAATAATACTATTACAAAACCTCAGACTATGCATAGAAAGCTGCAGAAGCGCAGCAGTAGCATTCTCTTTCCCTCTCGCTGAACCCAACTCAACCACTTCCACCAAAACCGGTATACCTCCTTCCTCACCAATCGCAATCTTCCCTTCTTTAACCGTGGCTAGATTCGCCAACACAACCACAGCTTTCTCCACCATCCCAGCTGCAGGATCCATCAACTCAACCAAGTACTTAACCGCACCAGCTTCAATCACTTTCGCCTTGTTCTCATGGTGTATAGAGAGGTTAAACAACGCCGTGGCAGCGTCCTTCTTGCCTCTAAGACTTCCGTGTCCCAAGAGCTCAACAAGCGGCTCTATAGCTCCTGCTTCACCTATCTTTGTCTTGTTCTCTTCTATCACTGATAAGCTGAAGAGTGTTGCTGCTGAATTCTCTTTGGCTTCTAGGTTACCTGTTTTGAGAACGTGGATGAGTGGCTCTATAGCTCCACTATCCGCAATAACTGATTTGTTGTTGTCGTTGATGGATAGGTTTAGCAAGCAAGTCACTGCGTCCGCTTGGATCCTCTCGTCTGTTGAGTAAAGAAGGTTGACTAAGGAGTTGATTGCACCGCACCTGGCGATGACTATGCGGTTGTCTGTGCTGTTTCTTGACAGTATCCTGACCCTAGCTGTTGCCTCTCTCTGTGCTTCCAGTGAAGAGCTCTTGAGATCTTCTATTAGTTTCTTTACCTCGGCTTCTATGCTTGAACTGCTTCCAGTTTCTCTTATGGTCGCTGGGATGATCCCTGGGTGATGGAAATGCCTCCCTGATGGAAGTCGCCACACGGCTTTGGAGACTGATGTATCATTAGTGCTTATTTCGGTTGATGTATCAGCAGCAGCAGGAGGAGGAGGAGCATTAGTGCTTGTTTCGGTTTTGGAAACCACTTCACAGAAAATGCCTGGTGCAGAAACAGACCTGCTTAGGACCTGACGCAGCTTCTTGCTCTTGGCAGCATCTAAAGATTCTGTACGGCCATTTCCAGCCATCTTCATAGGGGATGATGAACCTTTCTCTGACTTGACAGACTCATCAACCAAAGAAAGAGGCTGAGAGTTACCCTCATCATCATCAGAAGCTGGTTCAACAAGAAGAGGGAATGGTTTACTTGACTGAACCAACTCCAAAGGATCAGGAAGATTAACATTGTTTGATTCACACCAGTTTGCAATGAAAGCTTTGACGATGAAGTTAGGTGTTAAACTGGTCTGAGACAAAGGCTGCCTTGTCTTTGGACATACCATGAGTCCCATATCAAACCATTTTTCGATAAAAGCCCGTTCGTATGTTTGACCAGAAGTTACAATGACTGGATCAGTCATAAGCTCAAGAGACAAAGGGCAGCGGAAGTCAGGAGGTACAGGGACAGAACAACCTAACTGAGACTGTTTTATGTTGGTAAGGTAATCATGCATTTGTGTTGTAAGAGAGATCAATCCTTCTATAAACTCAGCTTCAGTGTTATTCTCTGTAAGCTCTGCGTTCTCCTTTAAACTTGCAAGCACCACACCTTCAATCAGAATCTCCTGGTTGGATTTTAGACCAACACTCTCAGCAATTTTGACTAGAACCTCTGAAGTAGGTCCATTACCTTCCCTTTGATCTATTAGAGCTTGATCAATAGTATATGAAACTTCATCTCTTCCTACTAACTTCACAAGTTCTATGCAGTCCTGAAAGATTGAACCAATGACTTAAAAGATATACAAGACTTATACCTATTTCAACCATGAATAGAACTTATCTAAATCTTATGACATATCTAAATTATCTAATCCTTATCACAATAGAATCCATATAATATTATTCGGTTTGGACTTCATAAACTTCATGAGCTTCATTTTATAATTAAACTTCAACGGTCCATGTCCGCAAGATACACATCTTAGTACCCATAGGCCATAGTCATAACATAGAAGAGCCTCAGCAATAACTAGTTCCTTAAGAAACTAACATTGGGACTTTACCTCAAAGGAAGGTGAAACCAAATCAGCAGGTAAGTGTTGTTCGCAGTGTTTGAGCAGCTGAAAGACTTCCAAACTGGATTCTCGCAATTTTGATGCTAATGATTCAATTTGAAGAACCTGGTGGTACACACAAGATAGGTAGCTAAGCCAATAAGAGAAAATGATATTCAGCTCAGAGAAGTGTTGGCTGTTTCTTTACTTACATAAAAGATTCTACTAGAAAGCGGCTCCCAGCTTTGAAACTGGTCTCTTAGCTCATCAACGTATTGAGATAGCTCTTCAAAGCCGTTGTTAAGCAACTCGCTAGGAGAGGCATCAGAGCCAACAAGGTTCTCAAGAACAGGCTGAAGAAGCTTGGCTATGTCTTCTCCTCTGGTGTAATATTTATGAGCAGGGTTTGAATGTAAAGTGTCTATGGATGATATGCTTAGGTATGAGGAGATGTTATCTAAGAGAACTCTCAACCAAGACACGTCCATGTTTCCCACCTTTAGTTTTTTAAAAAAAAAAAACATCAACATGACAGGAGTTTTATAATAATTAGTAAAATAAATCAAAAGGCTCAGACATTCAGAAACTTTACCATCATGTAATGAAATGAAATGAAACTCCAAATTTTTTTTGAAGCAAGATATAATCAATCAATTAGTAGTGTAATCAAAAGCCCCTGAAACAAGAACAGACTAAGTAAATAAAACTCCCATGTTCTAAAAATAGTAAGAACTAAATCATAAGCTAGAGGTTAAGGAATAAAGATAGGTTTAGTCAACCCTGTAGTCAATTATAATGAAAACCACATTGAAACTCTGAATCTAACATCAGTTTGAGTATCGGTTCAAATTCAAAAGAAGGAGTTCTTACACAATCTAGGAAACTGCAGAAAAAATAAATTATAACCACACAGAGATTATCTCGAAAGAGAACGAAACTTGACGATTAAAGTTTCTTAAAAAGGAAGGAGAGGAAGAAGTTACCTGGCAGAAATGGAAGTTTCAAACTCTCTATCTCTGTCTCTGTCGTAGAAAATGTAAATGAGAAACCGTGGAAGCGCGGTAAGACCAGTTCCTTCTCTTCTTCGTCAAATGATTACAAGCAAGTGTTTCAAAAAAAAAAAAAAAAAATTCTTCTCGAAAATGTTAAATTATTGTTAGTGGTCTTCTTTTTCACTAGTTTAGTATATTAGCGAGTTTTGCGTCAAACCTTGTTAGGTGGGTTTATTTATGTAACTTCAAATGATTTGTTTTCTTTCTGGGTTCTGGATTAGTTAAAGCTGCTCCTGTTTCGTGTCATTATCTTTGATTTTTTTTAATTAGCTACTAACGAATCGTACGTGCTCTAGTCGCTTAGCAGAAAAATTACATTGATCAACACCCTATTAATAGTAATAGTACTTTCTAATTAACTAGTTGTGGAATCAAAGAAATTGTGCACGACTTTTGTCACTAAACGACTAAGAATTTGTCTATTGACTGACTATAAACATCATAAATGCGAGCGCGTTTCCATTAGGCTGTTTCCATGACCAATTCTTCACCTTACAGATCTCTACAATGTATTCAAATCTTCACCAAGTCTTGTTATAATACAACAACAAAAATTCCAAGAAACATTTCAATTTTTCTACAAAGGACATAAAAGTGTTTATAGTTTCTGTCCTTCAAATAGCTCTATTGTAATAAAGCCAATACTAAAATAATAAATATGTGCAACAACAAAATAAAGGTTTGGACAGAGAGTGTTAGGACTGCTACTACTACACTTTTTAAAACTACATTCTGAAATCAAGAACACAGACGGAGTTATCAGCGAAGCAAGCTGCGAGTTTGTTACCTTCCTTGTTCCAACACACTTCGAAAATCCCTCCTTCTCCTGTGTATGTCTTCACGATCTTTCCTTCTTTTAGTGACCATATGTGTATCGATTTGTCTACTGACCCACTTGCTATGTACTCCCCGTTTGGACAAAATGCCAATGAGTACACCGCGTCCCTTCAAATCATCATCATCATCATCATCATCATTAATTCAGTTTTTGTTTAGTATACCAATGAGGTTAAACCACAAATCATCAACATACATATCGAGGGTTAAAGGTTTACCTGTGGCCGTTGAGACTACATATCATCTTCCCGAGTTCTGCATCCCATAGCTTTACTGTTGAGTCAAATGATGCACTGCTCCACTCAAATAAAAAACAAAGAGAGATTAATGAATGATACGTTGCATAAAATGCCACTTTTGAAGGTATTATATTTTAAAATCGTTTTATCACCTCGCAAGAGTTAGCGGTTTGTTAGGATTGTTGGTTCCTTGTCCTGTAGGGCTCCATCTGATTGTATAAATTTCCTGAATAAAATTTAAATATCCATCCTTAGACGCTATTAGAAAAGAAGGCAGACCATTATTCCAAGACTTAATGGAATTTATGTTTACCTTAGTATGGTCTCGGAGGTCATGGACAAAGCTGTTTTGTTTTATATTCCATATCTGAAGAAGAAAAGAGAGAAAAAACTGAGCACAAATGTCTATTTAAGTCAGTGGAAATTAGTAAACACAGTTCAGAGGTTACTTTAGCAAACCTTAGCAGTACTATCATCTGAGCATGAGGCCAGTAATGTACCAGTAGGATCCCATTTCACGCAATTAACTTCACCCTGCAATTATAGAAGCACCGAGTATGGTTGGTGATGAGACGAATGTCAGAATGATATGAGACTCAAGACTGAAGAAACTAAACATAATGATAAGATAGGAGAGATGCTTGGACAAGAGACACAACCTGATGACCAGCAAAGACTTTTACAGGTCGAGTTTCTCCAATCTTACACAAGTAGATGAAGGTGTCGGTGGAACTCGTTGCAAAAGACACGTTGTTGCGCCAATCAACATCAAGTGTTGGGCCTACATTCGCAATTGTATCCAATGTCATATGCATGCGAGAACTTGGTTCAAATTGATGTTTCATTAAAAAAAAATAGTGTTACCTGTGTGAAATTCAAATTGTTGCTTCCATTCCTCTGCCTTTACATCCCAAACAACAGCAGTTCTATCGACACTTCCTGTTAGAAGATAATCACCCTTCTTATTCCACTTTAGAGAAAAAATGGGTCCCTTGTGTTTGCTCAGAGTACTTATCAGGTCACCTGTAAAAATATAAAAGGAGTCATTTGTAAATTTAAAAGCTAAATCTCATAAACATACTAAAAATGTGAGTAAGTTATTTGGCCAACATGTAGAATGATAATGTTTTTACTAGCTGATAGCTTTCCTGTCTCAATCGCGGAACTCGTGATACTACCAAAGCCCAGACAACTAACCTCAGAAATATATAGCTCACGCTGAGAGAAAATATAAATATTAATTTATACATAACATAAATAACTAAACATCTTCATCAAATTCATAATTAAACTAATTCCCAGAAAAACAGAAATACGAGTAATACAAGGGACACCAAAAAGAAACGTTGGACATACCGTTTGTAGTCCAGATTCTTGCTTGGCCATCACATGAACCAGTGGCAAGTAAAGTCCCTTCACCCTGAAAATTCAGAAATCAGATAACATTTTTTTAGCAGAAACTAAGGCACTAATCCAGAAGAATAACGGACAGACAGAAATTAGCAGTATCCAAGAATAGTTAGATATTTTTTTAAGGAGTGAAAATGAAGCAGCAGCGCTCACATTCCAGTCAAGAGTGGTCACATCCTTGCTCTTCTCGTTTGACTTTCCTTTTGCATGTTTCAGGATCAAGGCATTGATACTACGACCAGATTTTAATGGTCCTTCCGGAATATTCCAGATACGAGCTGTGGTATCACCAGACCTGGTAGTTTTGCAAAGATACACACAAATGGAATAAGAAAACAAAAGTAATTATTCACAAGTGCATTCAAAAGAACTACTTACCCAGATGCAAGTAATGAAGCCGAAGGACTCCATGCACACGCACAAACCTAAATCAGTAATATAGACAGAATCTTAATCTCAACATAAGAAAGACAAGTATTAATGTAATAGACACAAGTGAAGATAGAAATCAACTATATGCTTGCCCATTTTAGAGATAAACTCATCTAAAAGGGGTACCTCAGAAGTATGCCCTTCCAGAATCCTCACATCAGAGTTAGGAATGTGACTTGGCACAGATGTAGGAGTCATTGTGATATCCATAGGTTCTGCAGCTGTTCACATAAGAAAATAGATTGAATTATTTAGAAAATAGATAAAATATTTGCAAAGTTTCAAGAGTAACAAGGATAAAATATATGAAGACTGACCCGAAGAACGGCCATGATCTTCATCCCCAGCATTTGCTTTGTCACTTTGGTCAATCACCATGTCCCTGTCACCATCTCCAAGCTGCTGCTTTTCATGGGTCTTTTCCCTCTCTATCTTCTCTCTTTCCCTTTCCCTCTCCCTTTCCATTTCTCGTTCCCTCTCTAGTTTCATTCTTTCCCTCTCCCTCTCGAATGTTTCTCGTTCCAACTTCTCCCTCTCGCGTTCCTTTTCACGTTCCATCCTCTCTCTTTCCCTCTCCTTCTCTCGTTCCATCCTCTCCCTTTCCCTTTCCCTCTCCTTCTCTCGTTCCTTTTGCTTCTCATGCCTATCCTTCTCCTTGAGTCGGCTGCGTTCTACTTCAACCTCTCTATCGTTTTCTTTAGATTTGTCTTTTTCCTTCTCCTTATCCCTCTCTTTCCTCTTTCTCTCCCTCAGCATCTCCTGCAATTCCTTCACGTCCTTTGAAATCAGATCCAACGGTTGAAAGAATGAGAAATCCTCCTCAGTTTCCATTTCCCCCTGCAAGTTAAATAAATAATAGCTCAGTCTAAACACCTAAGACATGAAAACATCAAACAAAAAAAAAACATTAAGGAGCTATACATTGGTTAAATTAGCTTCCATCTCCATGTAGTGGAGACCTTTTTGAACAAACTTGACAAGAGCACCAGGTGGAACCATGTTCCCATCAATGTTGGATTTATTTATCCCTGCCTCGTAACCTAGAGTGAATGCAGCATGTGTAAACCCTACAAAAACCACGATTAAGATTAAACTAACCATCTTAAAATCACTCTACCTTCTAACATAGCTTCTAGTAAAAATTCACTGTAAGATCTAAAAGTATCATGAACCAACAATCTTAAAAACTACAAGTTTTCGTACAATTCGTGAAACCCTAAGACGAATCCATAAAGAAATCCAACATCCACAATTCCAAATCAATTCCAAATCCCTAACTTTGTAGCTAGCGGAACAGATACAAATTCAATTAACTAAATAAGAACAAGGAGAGAGAACACAGGGGAAGCTATATAACGTTACCTGATTCCTGAAGATATCGGAAAACAAGAAAATTCATCTCCACGGAGGTGAGTGAAGACATCTCCGAAACCCTAACTCTTCTCCCTTCAATTCACAAAGGAATTAACACACGAAAAAAAAAAACTAAGAAAGAGTTTCGTCGCCCAGAAGAAGAGGGAGCTCGGAAAAAAGTATTTTTCGAGATTTTAAGCTCTTTCTCTTCCCACATGATATTTTATCATCTCTCCGACAATATCTACAACTTAAACTATGGTCTTAACGGGCCTCACTTTGTCCAATAACTTAAACCTTTTATGCCCCTTTTGAGCTAAGCCCGCTAATTATTAATGTATTTAGTAGAGACATTTTATCCGTAAAATTTGATTTGATTCATTATTTATTTATATCAAACTAAAAAATGTGAATATTTATAAATTGGAAACAAAATAAATATGAAAAATGAAACCATTAAAGACGAAATAAATAATAAATACTAAAAATTTAGAGTCAGATATCTGATCTGCTCTATCTTCTTATTATTATATGTATATATATAATTTTAAATGTAATTTTATATAATTATTATTTTAACATATTAATTTATTAAAATTATTTGTAAATCAAGAATATAATATAAGATCCTTATAAAACTATATTATTTCACTACTTTTTATTGTGTATTTTATATTATGAACAATATTATTGGAAAATAAATTTTTATTATTTTTGATTAATTTGTATTAAAAATACATGAGATATCCATAAATATTTATAAATATCTAAAAAACATCTGAATCCGTATTTTTCGTAGCAAAACAAATAGAATAATTAAATATTTTTAAATTATGAAGCAAATGAAAAATTGTGATAGTATTCCATTAGTGCTCACCCTATTTATTAGGACAACAATAAGTGAGTAAGAAGATACGGCTACTTATATAGTTCATCTTCAATTCGGACACGATATCAGAAAAGTTGGCAAAGATGTTTAATTTGGTGTCAGTCGCTTTACTCCTCGTATTAATCACAGCCTCTTATCTTTTCCGACCAAAGAAGAACTCACCACCAAGTCCGGTGGGTTTCCCCGTCATCGGACATCTCCATCTTCTCAAAGAGCCTGTCCACCGTTGCCTCCGTGACCTCTCTCATCACCTCGGTCCCGTGTTCTCACTCAAACTCGGCTCTTGTCGTGCCGTGGTCGTCACGTCAGCTTCCGCTGCTGAAGAGTTCTTAACTCACCAGAACGACATCGTTTTCGCGAACAGGCCTATCAGTACTTTGGGTGTATACGCTGGTTACAACAACACGATGGTTAGCGCAGCTCCTTACGGCGAGCTCTGGCGCAACCTCCGACGTATCTGTACTCTCGAGATCTTCTCCGCCGCTCGTCTCAGAGAATCTTTTGAGATACGGAGAGATGAAGTGAGAGCTCTGCTTCAGACAATCCACGCGGCGACAACAAAATCAGGAGGGGATAAGGAACACTTTGTCAGGTTGGAGCTACGACCGTTGCTTTCGGGGCTTACGTTTAACATCGTTATGAGAATGGTCGCCGGGAAAAGATACTACGGAGAGGAGAACGAGGAAGCTAAGGAAGTGAGGGAGCTTATTAGCGAAGCGTTTGTGCTCGGTGGGTTTACTTACGTCGGTGACTTTCTTCCGGTTCTGAAGCTGTTTGATTTCGATGGTTACGTTAAGAGAGCGAAGAGACTCGGCTCGAAGCTGGACAAGTTTCTGCAGAAACTAGTCGACGAGCATAGAAGAAACAGAGGAAAAACAGAGTTCGAGAACACGATGATCACTCACTTGCTTACACTTCAAGAATCTCAACATGATTATTACACGGACGAGATCATCAAAGGACTAGTACAGGTTCGTAAATTGTTTATATACAATATATTCGAGTCAAGATTGAATCATAAATTTCTTTTGCAGGTGATGTTAGTTGCCGGGACCGACACAACCGCGGTGACACTAGAGTGGGCCATGGCTAACCTTCTAAACCATCCAGAGGTTTTAGTGAAAGCGAAGACGGAGCTAAACGCCGTAGTCTCAAGAGAAGGCCGTTTAATGGAGGAATCAGATATAGCCACATGTAAATATCTCAGCAACGTGATATCAGAGACTCTTCGTCTCTATCCTGCAGCGCCATTGCTGGTCCCACACGCTTCATCAGATAACTGCAAAGTTTCCGGGTATGATATTCCACGTGGCACATGGCTATTCATTAACGCATGGGCTATCCAGAGAGACCCAAAGGTATGGGATGAACCAGAGATTTTTGAACCGGAAAGGTTTGATAGTGAAGAGTCAAAGACCCATCATCATGGTAAGTTTATACCTTTTGGAATGGGTAGAAGAGCGTGTCCTGGTATGGGGCTAGCTCATCTTGTGTTGGGATTGGCTTTAGGGTCATTGATACAGTGTTTTGATTGGGAGAGAGATGATGATGTGGCGGTTGACATGTCGGAAGGAAAGGGTCTTACGATGCCTAAAGCAGTGCGTTTAGTCGCCAAGTGCAAGTCTTCTCCAATCTTAGACCAAGTTGCTTTCTAATACCAAGTGAAACAAAACCCTCAAAAATTGTAATGTCTATCAAAATGATTGAATGACTTGTGTCATTGTAATGTTACAACTAGTCATGGGCATTTTATCCGAAACCCGAAAATCGAACCGGAACCGAACCGAAAAAACCGACATCGAAACTGGACCGAAAATTACAAAACCCGGAACGGTTCTTATTTCTCTAAATCTGAAAAACCGCAACCAAACCGGGACCGAATCGAAAACCGAACAGATGCCCGAATATTGTAAATATAATAAAAATATTAATTATTTTTAGTTTTAATATATATAAGATGTAATTTTTAAATAAAAATATCTAAAAACCCGAATTACCCGAATATTTTTCGGGTTTAACTCGATTTTTCAGTTTTTTTTTTGTTTTTTGGCTTTAAACCCGAACCAAACCCGAATTATTTCTAATTCGGTTCCACTTTGGGTTTTATAAGAAAATAGAAACCCGACCCGAATCCAACACTACCTGAACCGATCCGATCCGAAAAATTCCTGATTCCTAAACGGTTCCTAAACACCCCAATCCGAATAACTCGAAAACCGAATAATCCGAACCGACCCGAACCGAAAACCTGAATGCCCAGCACTAATTACAACAACAACAACAACAAAATAAAGACTTGTGTGATTGTTTTCAAGTCCTTTTCATCTAATTAAGAGTGAGTAAAGGGTCCCTATTGGGCTTTCTTTTAAATGAACCCGGATCCGAAATATTCTAGAGCGGGTAAAGATTCGGGTATTGCATTTTGAATTTAAATCTCCGCTCTCTTCACTTCTCTTTGTATCTTTGTTTTCTTCTCTAATTTCAAACGAGCCGTTAGAGAAGAGAGAGAGTGAGCGAGAACCAGAACTAGAGAGAGAGAGAGAGAGAAAAAAGTTGGATCTGAGTAAATCGAAGATGGCAGCGAACATAGGGATAATGGATTCAGCATATTTCGTAGGGAGATCGGAGATTCTCGCGTGGATCAACTCCACTCTCCATCTAAACCTCTCCAAAGTCGAAGAGGTTTAATAACTTTCTCTTCTCTTCTAGAAACCTAGCTTTAGATTCAGATCTTACGTAGCAAGAACCGTAAACGTCAGTGATTTTGTTATTGTTAGGAGTTATTATTCTGGAATTGAATTTGGATTCGAACTTGGACGAGTTCTTCTCTGAGTTGATTTGTTGTTCTGGATCTATTGATTTACAGGCTTGTTCAGGCGCGGTACACTGCCAGCTCATGGATTCGGTTCACCCTGGAACTGTTCCGATGCATAAGGTTAATTTCGACGCCAAGAGTGAGTACGAGATGATTCAGAACTACAAGGTTCTTCAGGATGTGTTCAATAAGCTCAAGCTCACTAAGGTCCTCTTTTATTCTCCTTGCTACATTGTTTTAATAGAGCTTGAAATTGAGCTAAACTGTGTTGTGAAATTTTGGCTGTGTGTAGCACATTGAAGTGAGTAAACTGGTTAAAGGTAGACCACTTGATAACTTGGAGTTTATGCAGTGGATGAAGAAGTATTGTGATTCTGTTAATGGTGGCCAGCTTCACAGGTAGCTTACCAGAGCCTTAACCTTGTTCCTTAAATCTGTTAAAAATGTGCTTCATGATTCTGATTTTGTTATGTCACAATGAAACTATCTGAATCAATGGTTGATAAATGAGTTTGCTTATCTTTTCTGCTGGCTCTCTTAAATTCTATTGGATTCTACTCACTTGATATACTGTTTATGTTGAAGCTTTAGCATTATAGTTTACTCATTTCTGCCAACGTGATGTCTTGTATTTGGTTTCATGTAGCTATCACGCACTGGAGAGAAGAGAAGCCAGCAAAGGAGGAAAAGAAGCAACTAAGAGAGCTGCAGCTACACAACAATCTGGCAAGAATTCTTCTTCTTCAGCTGCACCTAGACCTTCCTCTTCAAATGGTACCCGTAAACACGAACCACCATCTTCCAACACTGGTGGGAATCACCACTCTTCAAGAGCCCCCTCGTCTAAGCAAACGAAACCAGCGCCTGCTGCTTATGATGAAAAGGTATGTGTATCATTTCTTGAATAATATCAGCGAAGTCTTTTATAAGTTCGCTAACTCGCTTTCTTTATTACAGATCACAGAACTGAAACTCTACATAGACAGTTTGGAAAAAGAGAGAGACTTCTACTTCTCTAAACTAAGAGATGTAGAGATTCTCTGTCAGAATCCAGACACTGAACACTTACCTGTATGCAAAATCTTCTCAATCTCGTTTTACATAGTCCACTATGATATCTCAGAATGCTTATTGTAATCATCACTCTCTTTTGTTTCTGCAGCTTGTTGGTTCCATAAAAAGAATTCTCTACGCAGCAGATGGAGAAGACGTTGGAGCAGCAGCAGCAGAAACAATACAGACCTTAAGCCCTATAGCTGAAGGATCGGAAGAGAGAAGGAACAGTGTAATAGAGCCGCAGAAGAGGAAACTCATAGTGAATCAGGACGTGGATGCTGCAGCTATTACATCACTCTCTCCAAGGCAACGCCTCTCTGATGCTTCTGATGTCAAATGCAGTGGTTCATCTCCTCTTCTGACCTGCTGAAGCTCCTTACTACTATTTATGTTTCTTGTGAACGTTGCTCTATTGTTCGAAAATTCTACATTAGTACTTCATATAAATCTTATTATTACTATGTGCTTAAATGAAAGCATCATTCATATGATGTTTTTTGTAATCGTTGTGTTATGATAATAATATGTTTTGACATATCTTATTGATTGGTAAGGTTTCCGAAGACTCATGCTAAGCCAAATCAATCTTTGGCAAAATTACAAAGACAAGTAAAGAACGCAGTCTTTTCATTAACCACTAGCATTTGTTTCCACCCATTTCATATATATTTATATAGAATTTAATACTTAAAAAATTTCTGTAATTTTAGATTGAAAAAACCATTAAGACGAATAGATTACTTTGAAGTTAACTAAACATGACACATTATGCATCTATAGAAAAGTCAGAGAAATAAGACTTACTCATTACACATATTAACACATGGCATGCTAACGTATTTGACAATATTTCAACACAACTAAAGAAAGAGAGAATCATGATTTTTTCAACATTTTCAAAATAGATGACAATTATAAAATATCGAGTATTCATAGCCTACAAAAAGTCTACTATTGTCTAGAGAACATGAAGTTTGACCATTGAACACGAGAAGTCATGATTATTGCAAAGAAGAGCGTGAAGAGAAGTCAGAAAAAGCAATAACAAAAGTTCAAAAAGTCGAAGGAATCAACGACCGCGATTAAACTCCCATTTACACTTGAACGGCTGAGATTAAACAAGAGTAAGATTTGGGTTGAGCATGACGACTACGATGATGACACGTGGTCCCTTATCTAACTCAATGGGCCGTTACTTTTTATAATAAATCCCTCAAAAAACCAAAACACCCAACCCAAAAAAAATAAAAATTAAAAAAACGGAAAGATGGGGCAAGCGCCGTCGTCCACGGCGAAATCAAACGGCCGAGAGATAGATCTGAGGCTTATAACCTCTCCGGTGATCCTCCCCGGAGGAGGATCGATGGATTCCACGGTTAGAGATCGTGATTATACTGCTTACCTACCCGATGAATGCTTAGCTCACGTCTTTCAATACCTCGGAGCCGGAGATCGTAAACGCTGCTCCCTCGTCTGCAAACGGTGGCTATTCGTCGACGGACAGCACCGTAACCGATTATCCCTCGACGCTAGAGACGAGATCTCCTCCCACCTCGCGTCGATGTTCAACCGATTCGATTCGGTTACGAAGCTCGCTCTCCGATGCGATCGGAAGTCAACTAGTTTAAGCGACGAGGCGTTGGTGATGATCTCCGTTCGTTGCTTGAATCTGACGCGTGTGAAGCTTCGTGGCTGCCGCGAGATAACGGATCTGGGGATGGTGGAGTTCGCTAAGAATTGTGGGAAATTGAAGAAGTTATCCGTTGGATCTTGTAATTTCGGAGCTAAAGGAGTTAACGCGATGGTTGAGGAGTGTAGGGTTCTTGAGGAGTTGTCTGTGAAGAGACTTCGAGGGATTCATGAGGCGCATGAGTTGATTTGTTCGTCGTCGTCTTCGCTTAGATCTGTTTGTTTGAAGGAGCTTGTTAATGGACAGGTGTTTGAGCCTTTGGTTGCTAATACTAAAACGTTGAGAACTTTGAAGATTATTCGTTGTCTTGGTGATTGGGATAAGGTTCTTAAGACTATTGGTGATGGAGATAGCTCTTTGAGTGAGATTCATCTCGAGAGGCTTCAAGTTAGTGACTTTGGGCTTTCTTCGGTGTCGAAATGCTCAAAGGTGGAGACTTTGCATATAGTGAAGACGCCGGAGTGTTCTAACTATGGTTTGATGGATGTTGCTGAGAGGTGTAAGATGCTGAGGAAGCTTCATATTGATGGTTGGAGGACTAATAGGATTGGTGATGAAGGTTTGATAGCTGTAGCGAAACATTGTTTGAACTTACAGGAGCTTGTGCTGATTGGTGTTAACGCGACGCATTTGAGTTTAGCGGCTATTGCTTCGAACTGTGAGAAGCTGGAAAGATTAGCGCTTTGTGGAAGTGGAACTATTGGGGATACGGAGATTGCTTGTATCGCTAAGAAATGTGGGGCGTTGAGGAAGTTCTGTATTAAAGGATGTGCGGTGTCTGATGTAGGGATTGAAGCGCTTGCTGTTGGTTGTCCTAATTTGGTGAAGTTGAAGGTGAAGAAGTGTAAAGTGGTGACTGGGGAGATTGGAGAATGGCTAAGGGAACGAAGGAGGACGCTTGTGGTGTGTATGGATGGTGATGGAAGTGGTGAAGCAACGGTTGCGGTGGATGGTGAGGTTGAGACAGGTTTGGGGGAGACAAGGGTGGGTGAAGCAGGTGGTGTGGCGGAGATTGGGTCAGGTAATGGTGGAGGAGGTAGATTAGCGATGATTAGGTCAAAGTTGGGGTTTCTTGGTGGAAGGAATTTGGTAACTTGCACATTCAGGAGATGGTCTCAGAATGATAATGGTACTAGTTCTACTTGATATCTGATAATGATAACTGTCAAAAATCTTGCTTTTGTAATTCCCTTTCATGATGTTTTCAATCTGTGTGTAAGAAGAAGACTTGTCGATTAGAAAAGTCATTCCAAGTAAGAACATTTATTGCTTTGTTTCTTGTATTTGACTATTGATTTGCCGTCAGACTATTGGACCTTTGTGTGTTTTACGATTGCAACCAACAGATTAATATGATTTAATATGCAAACCTTTAGGATATTAAATACTATTGTCTTCCAGAGTTTTGTTTTATGGTTAAGTATTTGAGATGAACAAACTCAAATGATTCTGTATTTTCTATACGCCAATGCTAGCCAAACATATTCTTGTTGGATGTCTATGGTGAAAAGAATATGAAATGAAACTACGCCTATTTATAGTGGCTTCCGTCATCGTTTTGTATTTGTCTTCAGCGAGTTGTTGATACTGTGATAACTTCAAAAGCTTTAGGTTGTTGTTTCCCCTTAGAGATCTTGCTCTTTGATCCTCTTGGCTTACTGTAGTACCATTCCACTTCTCTTATCACCTCTGGGAGCTCTGAAGAAGAGTCTGGCCACGGTGTTCTCTTTGATGGCACTGTGATTTCTAAGGATGACTTTATGCTCCAGCTACATACAAGTAGAAAAGAAATTACAAGTCAATTTGGGATAAGAAATTTGCGCTTGATTTAATGAGAATGTGAATGTAGAAAATCAAACTTCCCAGGTGGGAATTTGCTATCAGCTCTTGCTTCAACCCGGAGCCACTAAAGCAAGACACGACGGCGAGTGCTTCCACCATAGAAGGAACCTTGACCAGAGACAATGGACTATCTCTTCATTTATATCCAACAAGTCGATGCTCTCTTTTAACCAATGTTGGTTTTACCATCCACAGAATTCTATGTCGAAAGTTAAGTTGAACCGCAATCAAAAGCAAAACTAACTTTTCATGAATATATTATTTTTCTTTTCAAGCTCGGCATTCACGTTATTAGCGGCCGGCCGAGTTTCCTGCAGTGGTATTACATACACAGTAACTTTGACGTACGAGCAAACTTGGTATACAAGGTTACTTTGAGATAGATTCATCTTAGCCTCTTGCAGGAACTATATTCTCCTATGGAGCTTGCTCCTACGTCAAAGTTATTTATATATATTCATGAAAAGCGTTTCGTTTTACTTTTCCTTACGGTCTTGCACTTAGTTTCAAACAACCTGGAAATCATAAACTGCAATCTTCTTGGCATGAGACTATGTGTTGAAAACATACGAGCCCACTAGCTTCTCAAAGGAATCACAACTCGGACTTTGGATAGGCGTTGAAGGAAAAGCTTTGCCTTTTTGCTTCACTTGTTGATTCATCATCAAGACTGAGCTGGAGCAGCTGGCTTACGCCGCCTTTGCTGGTGTATTATAGATTGGTGATGAAAGTGGAAAGATGAAGAAGAGGACTATGTATGATACAACTTTTGCATGATACTACAGTCTAACACATGTATACTGAACATAAAAAGAAGAACACGTAACAATACGTGGAATCAACCAACGCGTGTTGGCCTAGTGACAAAGAAACTTCATCTGGAATGCCTGTCCTGGGTTTGATCCGCGTTGGTCACCAGAGAATTTACATGCGGACTTGCTCTGGTGCCCGAAACCGAAGACCACTATCCAATCATAACCCACCTTCGGGTGTGCATCCACGCCGCTAAAGAATTCAGTTTCTAAAGCACTACGATGGGGCTAGGACATTCGGTTATCAAAAAATAAAACAATACGTGGAATCTCCATCAACATGTGTCATCAGGTAAAAGAACTGAATCTCCTCCGTAAGTTCCAAGGAAATCCAGATTCAAATGTCAATATAATAAGCCCATGTCTTAAAGTTGAATCGTTAAAGCCCAATACAGCCCAGATAGTGGCAGAATCACAAAATTACGTTTAAAATAAAATAAAAACGACAACCGTTTTTTAAGTGGTTCGCTTCAGACACTTTAATTTATGACGGCGGCGATGTCTTCATCTCCCGTCGTCAGCTCATGAAACCCTAATCTCTCCAATATTTCTCCTCTCAAAAATTTCCCCGACCCGACAATGACCCAAAACCCGGATCCAAACCCTGATCCAGCTCCGACGAGCTTCGAGACAAGAGTGGAGCAAGCTTGGGCACACTGGAAGAAACTAGGTAGACCCAAGTACATAGTAGCTCCAATGGTGGATAACTCTGAGCTTCCTTTTCGATTGCTCTGCCAGAAATACGGAGCTCAAGCTGCTTACACACCGATGCTTCATTCAAGGATCTTCACCGAGACTGAGAAGTATCGTAACCAGGAATTCACCACTTGTGAAGAGGACAGGCCATTGTTTGTGCAGTTCTGTGCTAATGACCCTGATACTCTCTTGGAAGCTGCTAAGAGAGTTGAACCTTACTGCGATTATGTTGATATCAATTTAGGGTAACTCTATTCTTTAATAAAGATCCAATTTTTATTGTAATGTTACTGTTTAAGTTGTGTTAGTTCTGATAATTTAAGTTAAATTCAGTGATTTGGGTTTGGAGATTTCTAGAAAATATGAGAGTTTAGTGATAGTATTTTAGTTCAGTGATTTGGGTATTAGGATTCTTCAATAAATATCCAAATTTTATTATATTACTACCTGTTTAAGATGTGTTAGTGAATTAGTTCTCATAGTAATGTTATATTCAATGATTTGTTGGGTTCGGAGTTTCTGTAAAATATAAGAGTTTAGTGAGGGTTAGTAGTTTAGTTAAGTGATTTGGGTGCCACAATTTTCAATAAAGATGTGTTTTTTTATCGGATCACTATTTTGGTTTTGTTAGTTTTGATAACTAAGTGACTGTTCATTGGAGTAGTTTGAACCTTGTGCGACTGAGTAAGATTGTTTTATTGCATCACCACTGTTTAATTTGTGTTAGTTCTGATAGTTAAGTTAATTCAGTTATTTGGGTTTGGAGATTTCTGTAAAAGATAAAGAGTTTTTAGTGAGTGTTAGTAGTTTAGTTCAGTGATTTGGGTGCCACAATGTTCAGTAAATATTTGGATTTTTATAACATCACTGATTGAGTTTTGTTAGTTCTGATAACTAAGAGTTTAGTGAGAGTTAGGTAGTTTAGTTCAGTGATTTGGGTGCCACAATGTTCAATAAAGATTTGGATTTTTATAAAATCACTGATTAAGTTTTGTTAGTTCTGATAAATAAGAGTTTAGTGAGTGTTGGGTAGTTTAGTTCAGTGATTTGGGTGCCACAATGTTCAATAAAGATTTGGATTTTTATCAGCTAATGTTTAGGTTTTGTTAGTTCTGATAACTAAGTGGATTAGTTTGTAGTTTAGTTCATGGATTTGGGTGACACAGTTTTCAATAAAGATGGAATTTTTATTAATTTTTGTTAGTTCGGATAATTAAGTGAATGTTCGTTTGAGTAGTTTAATTGTTTTGGGCGTTTTGGTTTTTAGGTGTCCTCAACGTATTGCGAAGCGAGGAAACTATGGTGCATTCTTGATGGATAACCTTCCTTTGGTGAAATCACTTGTTGAGAAGTTAGTTCAGAACCTCACTGTACCCGTCTCCTGCAAGATTCGTATTTTCCCAAACCTTCAAGATACACTCAACTACGCCAAGATGCTAGAAGAAGCTGGCTGCTCATTACTAGCGGTTCATGGCAGAACCAGAGATGAGAAAGACGGGAAGAAGTTTAGAGCTGATTGGGGAGCCATCAAGGAGGTGAAGAACGCTCTGAGGATCCCTGTTTTAGCTAATGGGAATGTGAGATGCATTGAAGATGTGGATGAGTGCATCAAAGAGACTGGTGTTGAAGGTGTTTTGTCTGCTGAGACGCTTCTTGAGAACCCTGCGGCGTTTGCTGGGTTTAGAACAGCTGAGTGGGCTAAAGAAGAGGGATACGTTGATGGAGGATTAGATCAGGGAGATTTAGTTGTTGAGTATTTGAAGTTATGTGAGAAGCATCCTGTTCCATGGAGGATGATTAGGTCTCACGTGCATAAGATGTTGGGAGATTGGTTTAGGGTTCATCCACAGGTTAGGGAGGAGTTTAATGCTCAGAACGTATTGACTTTTGAGTTTCTATACGGTCTTGTGGATCAGCTAAAGGAGCTTGGTGGACGAGTTCCACTCTACAAGAAAAGGAAGATAGATACTCCACAAGAGTCTTCACCATAGGGTTTAGAGACTTGAAACTTTTATGTTCTTGATTTATTGAGATTTTTATGATGTATGGTGTCCGAATACTTTTGGAACTGTAACAGCTTTGAAATTGCAAGTATTTTCACTATTCTGTGCAATGCAAATATGGGCCTATATACAAGGAAAATATACAGTTAGCCGATTAAATCTCAGTTTGTTACTACTGGCCCATTATTATTTTCCAATCTATACTATTAAAGTTGAAGTACAAAAATGAAGTGTTTGGAAACATGAATAAGAAAATTTTAAAAATTTGATTGGAAACATGGATAACATATAAACTTAATGGGCTTATTTATTAAATTAAATATTATTGCGGTCCAAAATATCATTATTATTGTTTTTGGGTTTTCTATCATTGATATTACTTTATTTCTGAAAATTATTTATATATATATATGTATTCATGTTTTAAATTTATTTAAAATAAATCAAGAATAATATATATTTTATTTATATAATTTATATTGACTATTGTTATAAGTTTTTAACAGTGATATACTATCTTTCCAATTCTTCATTAAAAAATTAACTTTAAAAATTTAACTAAATTATTTAGTGTATGTAATTTTACACCAAATTTAACCCCAAAAAAACTTTATAAATTATTACTAAAATGTTTACGGGTCATAACATTTTACCGACGCCCCTGTTACACAATACAGTGATGAAATACGATGTTTAAACAGTATACTATTACTTAGTAAAATTGGAAGCATTAAATTGTAATTTTTAAAATGTTTATATATACCATAGAAACAAATACCCGCCCAGTCGGGCGGGTTATGATCTAGTATGTATTATTGATTGGAACAAAGAAATAAAACACAATGATATTTTGAAAAGAAACATGTAAAACAAAGTGGACCATCTTTTTTTTTTTTTTTTTTGAAATGAGAAGTGGACCATCTTCTACGAAATGAATTTGATTTCTTTGCTTTTCTATGGTGATTGGCGCCATGTTCACGTGCCAGCTGGGTCACAGCTTAAAGTTTCATTAGTAAATCGTAGTTTTCTCATACGAATACTACTTCCCTTGTGAAAGTATTTGTTTTTGTGAATCTTCATATTTAAAATTTAAACCAAAGTCGTGAGAACAATCCAAATATCACTCGACTTGTGCCCTACAGATTTTTCTATACCAGTTCCAATATCATCAGGCTATTCAGAGATATATTTTGCGGGTAAGGATTCCCAAATGAGCATCAAATTATTATGAAAGGAACATAAATTATTATTTTTTAAAATGCTTATCTATACTATTATTTAAGAAGTAAATTTGCTTAGTTGTCATGTTCTCCATAAGTTTAGGTAATTTTGTTTATTTATCATATTTATAATATTATATATAAGTTATTTATAAATAAAGCGAATTTATATGAATATATCATATTTTAGAAAATAAGATAATTCTTGTAAATTATGTTGTTATCTAGAAATATATTTTTATATATAAAACTTAAAAAGATAATTCTTGTGTATTATGTTGTTATGTTGAAAATATATTTTTCTATTATAAAACTTAAAATTAAGATATAAAAATTATATTATTAATAATCAAATTTATATTTTAGAAAATAAGTTGATTCTTATGTATTATTATCTTGAAAATATATTTTCTATTATTAAATTTTAAATTAACATGTAAAAAATCTATACTATTATTTAAGAAGTTAATTTGATGTTTGCGAATTTGTCATATTTTCCATCATTTTAAATAATTTTGATAATTTATCATAATTTCTATAATTTTATATATAATTATTATATATTTAAAACAAATTTATATTAATAATATCAGATTCTTAGAAAATAAGATATTTCTTATGTATTAAGTTGTTGTCTTGAAAATATATTTTTGTATTATAAATTTAAAATTAAGATATAAAAAGTTGTAGTTATTCTTATGTATTATGTTGTTATCTTGAAAATATACTTTTATATTATATAATTTAAAATTAAAATAGAAAAATTATCTATTATTAATTAAATATAAACTATCACTCAAGAAAAATTATTTAAGAAGTGAATTTGCTGATTTATTGAGTTCTCTATGATTTTATGTAATTTTGATTATATGTCATATATAATTTTTATAATCTTATATAATTAAAAAAATATCATATTATATTCTTAGAAAATAAATAATTTATGCATTATATTGTTATCTTTAAAATATGTTTTCTATTATAAAATTAAAATTAAGATATAAAAATAACAATTAAATATAAATTAAGTAAAAAATTGTATAAATATTATAATTAAATATAAATCAGGCAAAATAATTATAGAAATATATTCTTTTAAATATTTCTGAAGTTTGAGTTTTGTCATTAATAATTGTTTGATGTTTAATTTTTAATTTTTGAAAACATAAATAATAACTTATTATGCTGATTTTTACATTAATGAAACATCAACTAATAAATATTTATAAGAGAATTATGCCCGCAAGTGCGGGCAAAACACCTAGTTGTATTGTAATTGTTAACTGTCCAGTGTAATACAAAAGAATGGTTTTTTTACATCATTGGAATAATTATAACATGTACAATGATGTTTAAAGTATTTATAAATTAATTAAAAACGGTTAGTTTATGAAAGTCATTCTTTAAAGATAATTATAGTTAAAAATATCAAATTTGTAGTGAAGATATTTGTAGTTATTTAGACAAATAATTTTTATTTAGACATGGCATACATATAATAAAACTATATAAATTAATATATACCTTAAATATAAATATATTTATATGTGAGGTAACAAAATAACCAGTATGGTTTATATAGTTTTTTTTTATAATCTGTTTATGTTACTGACAAAAAAAAAAACATAAAACTATGTTAAAACAGAAATTTAAAATGGATTTCATTGTATATAAAAAATAATACAAGATTTTATGTGCAACCGCGGTATTTGCGTATTGAAAAAGTTGATCGAATTTTAATTATAGTTAAATCATATATACATTGTCGATAATCCATAGGAATAAAGATCATTATCTAAATAAATTTTAAAAGAAATAAAATACAACTCGACACTCCTGAAAATAACATCAAACGATTGATTATTGGAAGATCGGTTCTTTCGGGACCGACTTGTTGCTATTATAATCAGTCTCCCACCTACTATATATGATAATTCAGAATTTGCCATTTAATTATGTATGTTAACAAAATTATTATTTGTAAATATGCTTCTTAAATTATATAATTAGCATTACTGCCATTACAATGTTTACGTGGGTTCAAATACATAAAAGGTCGAGTAAATACCGAAGCTAACCCTGGGAATATCAAAGGACGAGAGAGAAAATAGAAGAAAATAACAGAGGAATGAGAAGGACAAAGGGGACAATACAAGCAATACATGACGTAGTTTATATGAGTACACATAAAGTCAATATCTAAAGGTATACAGTCACCGACCACCGACCTACCTTTCTTCCTCCACCACCGTATAGAAATTGCTGTACATATGCCTCACCGTTTGTACAGTTTGTTCCACCATGATTCTAGCCTCTTGCTTTTTTACACCATTTGTATTCTCATGTTTTTCATATGCAACACTGTATTCACCAGATATAAGATTTATGTTAATTATCAAAAAAGGTATTGTACCGTATTGACCATTGATTATATGACTAGAGAGCTTCTGTTGTTTATCCGGACAGGATGTCAAGGTATCTTTGTATAAATTTATCAGAATCTAATTAAATAATTTAGTATACACATAAAAACATTATGTTAGTTATTCGTACCAGCCTACCAGGGCATATTCGTAGAAAAAAATAGTTTTTGCGCGGGGATAATAAAATATTTATTAGAGAAGAGACAAACAATAATTATATTGATATGCGCATGTCATCTCCACTTCACCACCTCTTCTTCCGCCTATCCTCATAAAAAGTTGCTGTTCCATTAAAATACAAATAACACAGAAGATACAGCTTTCATCATCGGCCCAATATTCATTTATTTATTTATTCTATATTTTTTTAGCTAAATACTATAACTACAAAACGAATCCACGACCACCAAGACAAGTTTATCTGATAAAATCCAACTAAAACACAACTATCTTCTCTCTTTACTTTTTTTCTTTTGTCGGTGAATTTGGAGTTTTCTTACCGGCATATCACTACTCTCTCCTGTTCCGACATATTTATATTCTCTGTCATCGTCTTTCTCTCTTCAGCAAATCAGTTATATTCTCAAAACCCACCTCAAAAGTCTTTCTCTTTGGAGGGTTTAAGAATTTAATTAAGTTCCTCCATGGACGGCGACGGAGTAGCTGACGTGGCAGTCGCCATGACGACGAGGAAGAGAGAGAGACCTTACAAGGGCATAAGGATGAGGAAGTGGGGCAAATGGGTTGCGGAGATTCGCGAGCCTAACAAGCGGACAAGGCTATGGCTTGGCTCTTACTCAACTCCCGAGGCGGCTGCTCGAGCTTACGACACGGCGGTTTTCTACTTAAGAGGACCAACGGCGAAGCTGAACTTCCCTGAGCTTCTTACCGGAGAGAAATTCTCTGAGGAGGATATGTCAGGTGATACGATTAGGAGAAAAGCGACGGAGGTTGGTGCTCAGGTAGACGCTTTGGGCACGGCGGTGATGAATAACCGCCACCGTGTTTTTGGTCAGAACAGAGAGAGTGATGATAGTAGCAAGAATTTTGGTCGGAATTATCAAAACGGTGAGCAAGAAGATGAAGAGAAGAGTTTGAAGAGTGGCGGTTGGTTATTGGAACGGGTTGACTTGAATGAATTACCCGACCCGGAAAACTACGGTGACGACTGGGAAAGCAAATAAAACATATTTTTTTTAAATATTGGACCGGTGGAGGCTGCTAACGCACGCTTCGGCCTACCTCTGCGAAAATCATTAGCGCCGTTTATGTTTTTTATTTTTTGCATTATCTGAAATTTTAGGTTTTTTTAGTTATTAATTTCTGCTCCTTTTTTTGTCATCTATTACGGATTTTCGGTTTATGGAATTTTAGGCTATTGCTTAAAGAATGCAAAATGTATATTACCACTCATTAATAATTAATGAAATTCGGCCTATTGTTTAATTTATACTGCTATGTCTTTTTCTCGAAAATAACATAAGTTGATAACAAGAAAATTTCCTAATCTATACTATTAAAAGAGAAGGAGTCTAAATAAATCTACTTAAAAAAGTTGTTTGGACCCATTAGACTAATATTTTTAGTCTTTCCTTATATTTCTCTAACTATATAAATACTTTACAATTTAAATAAACTCATTTATTACTTTCCATAATCTATTATAAAATTTCTCTAACAATAAATATTCATGATATTATAACTATGACACTTTAGTTTAGTTAATTATATGCAATCAATTATTAAATTTTGATATTACATTCTTATAAAAGAACTA